GGTAATCGCTGCAAGCACCTCTGAGAGAAAGCCGCCCTCGAGTTCCGACCGATGCCAGACAGTCCAGTTTCTCCCCGTATGAGTCTGGGTCCCCAGAGACTTGCCTGGAACTGGAGTTCAGAGCAGTCGAGAGCTTGAGACTCCCTCCCAATTGAAAAAGACAACCACGTCCTCAGTTGCCAGCCCTTTCCACGTGCGCCTCGGTACTTCTGCGCCTCTGTACCTCTGCACTTCTGCACCTCCTCTGAGTCTCAGTGTTCTTTTCTCTTTCCTTCTAGTTGTAGAATTTCCACTCAGCCAGCCTTCCTGTGGTTCTGGATGATGTCCGTTTTGTCTTTTAGTTGTATTTTTTTTCCACTGCCTAGTTATTTAAATTAGCTGTTAGAATCTGGAGACAGCCTATATATGTTACCTCCACTTCAGCTGTACCAAAGCACTAGCCTACTGTAGAGCAGAGTTTCAGGGTTCAGAGTTCATTGAGTGTGATTATTCAGGGAGGCGATGGGAAGGAAGGATGAGAGGGAGCTGACACTGAATGTATAAGACGGCAATGGGCTAAGTGCCTGCTGTAAAGAACTTGTTCAAAATCATAGGCCTATCTGATTCTTTTAAGCCCATGCACTTTCATTCTACCTGCTTGCTTCACTTAGATCAGTGGTTCTCAACCTTCTGGCCCTTTAAATACAGTTCCTCATGTTGTGACCCAACCATAAAATTATTTTCGTTGCTACTTCATAATTGTAATGTTGCTACTGTTATGAATCGTAATGTAAATATCTGATATGCAGGATGGTCTTAGGCGACCCCTGTGAAAGGTTCGTCCGACCGCCAAAGGGGTCGCGACCCACAGGTTGAGATCCGCTGACTTAGAGAGATGTTGGTGTTTTGTATGAAGTGCCTTTGTTTCCTAAACTTGATACTGCTCAATGCTTGAAATCTTATTTTACTTAAAGTCTCCAAATAAAATGGGCATGTTGTCTCATCAGAGAACTTAGAAATCTGTACCTTTTATAATGCTCTTCAGAGGATTGGAATTGGAGCCACTGCTCTTGCTTTTTTCCTTATTCATATCTTTGAGGTAATAGAGAGGTTATTAACAATTCATCAGAACACTTGCCTAAATTAACTCGTTACCCTCTTCAAGGTTTTCTTTATATAGCATCTTTTTGGCGAGGTTTACCCTGACAACCCCATTTAAGATTCAGCTTCGCCAAATACGTTGTTTCCTCACCCTGCTCTACTTTTTCTCTTTTCCATATACTTGTTACACCTAAAACTATAATTTCTTGTTTTATGATACCTATTTTTTATTGTATATTTCAAATGAGATCAGGACTCTTTTCTCTTTTGTTCACTGCTATATCCGAGTACCTAGAAAAGTGTTGTTCAAAAATATTTAATTAATGACTGGATGAATGGAAGAATGAGAGTTTCATTATTGGAATTTTTGGGCTACCCTCAAATAAGTTAGCACAAAATGTTCTCTCTCAGTGCCTGCTTTTCCATGCTATTTACTTTTTGTCTTTCCCTTGTAGGGCAGGAGTGGATATGGTGAAAGAAATGCTACCTGTGGCCGAATGATCTGTGATGTGGAAATTTCGGCAAAAGAATTAATTCGTTGTAAAAGCTACCATTTGTCTGAACTTGTTCAACAGATTCTGAAAACTGAAAGGGTTGTAATCCCCGTGGAAAATATGCGAAATATGTACAGGTATGATCTTGGATGCTTCAGAATTGGATTTGTCTTGAAATTAGCAAAAGAAAGACAGCAGTACCATTCTTAGGAGCGTGTGGTGCTATGGAGAGGAACATTGTCTTCATGTCAACACCACCATCTCCGTTACTTCAATAATAATTTGAACCATTTTGCCTTTTGAATTATTCTACTTTGATCAGTTTATCTCTATCTCCCTCACTTAACACCATCTTGATGTTTCCTAAGAGCAGTTTGGAAATTAATGTGATATTTATGTTTTCATCCTTAATTCATTAATTCATGAATTAGTGTAAATATTTTAGAAGTATAAAAACTGAGAAATCATTAAGTTATTTAGAGAGATTGCTCGATTATTTCTTCCAGCTTTGTTGAGGTAAAATTGACAAAAAATGTGTATATTTAAGGTATGCAACTTGATGTTTGATATACATATACAGTATGAAATAATCATCGCATTCAAGCTAATTAGCTTATCACCTTACAATTTTTTTGTGTGGTAAGACCATTTAAGATTTAACCTCTTAGCAAATTTTAAGTATATGATACAATATTGTTAACTGTAATCACATTGCTGTACATTAGATTTCCAGAGCTTATTCATTTTGTGTAACTGGAACTTTGTGCTTGATTATTTCTTAAATAAGGTTTCTTTTACCCCTCTGGCCACTTGTTTTCTGCCCATTCTTCCTGAGTCCTTGGACTGCTTCCCTTTCTGACTGTGCTTCTTTTCCAGGTGATCTCATCAAGTCTCAGAGAGTTCAATACCATGTGGGTACTGATGCCTCGCACTGACATTTCTTCAGCTTAGACTTTCCCCTGAAGTCCAGACTCATGTAGTCACCTGCCTGTTCTACTTAGTGTCTATTATGAACCTCCAACTTAACTTGAGCTCCTGATCTTCTCCCCTAGGTTTCTCTTGTAGTCTTTCCTTTAGTAATGGTAACTCTATTTTTCCGGTGCTGCTGGAAACTTAAGTTGTCCTCAGGCCCAAACCTCTGAGGTAGTCATGATTCTTATCTCTGACATGCACATTCAGTCTTTCAGGAAATCCTGACAGCTCTATCTTCAAAATATGTCTAGATCTGATCACTTCTTTTCCATTCCATTGGACTCACCCTGGTCCAAACTACCAACCTCTTTCCTCTGGATGACTAGGTCTTATATTAGCCTTCTCACTGGCCTACTTGGTTTTGCTCTTGACCCCTTGCTTTCTATTCTCAACCCCAGAACTAGATTATCCTGCTAAAGTTAAGTCAGATATGGCGCTCTGCTCAGAATCTTCCAGTGGCTTTCTGTTTCATTCAGAGTAAAATCCAAAGTCCTTATGTTGACTTACAAGGTCCTATGTCAGTGGTTCTCAACCTTCTGGCCCTTTAAATACAGTTCCTCATGTTGTGACCCAACCATAAAATTATTTTCGTTGCTACTTCATAACTGTAATGTTGCTACTGTTATGAATCGTAATGTAAATATCTGATATGCAGGATGGTCTTAGGCGACCCCTGTGAAAGGGTTGTTCAACCGCCAAAAGGGTCGCGACCCACAGGTTGAGAACCGCTGTCCTATGTACTGTGTCTCTCTGCCATTAACTCTGCCCTTGTCTTCTGTTCTCTCCATCTTTCTCTCTGTTCCAGCCATTGGTCTCCATCCTGGTCCTAGAACTACCATATTTACACTTAACTCGGGGCCTTTGAATGTGCTGTTCTGTCTTCCTGGAATGCTCTTCCCTCAGATACCCAGTTATTCTCAGTGAACTCTTTCCCGGTTCCCTAGCTGAAAATTCAGTCTCTGCTCCTGACACTTAATATTCCCTTTCATTTTTTTTTCTCGCTTTAACTTAGCATTACATAACATACCATACATATATTTAATTTGTTATTTATACTTTGTCTCCCCTATGAGGATACAAGCCCATTGAGGACAGGATACCTGGCACATAGTAGGCATGCGAGACATACTTATTAGATGGAATGAATGAAAGGTTTCAGGTAGTTTCCAGGTTGTAGTTAAATACAGAACTTCACTTTATTTTTGTGGGATTTTTTTGTGTTTTGAGAGGGGCATTGGGATTGATGGTATGAATGAATTCCTAGTTTTATACCGACCTTATTTTAAATTATTTTCAAAGCCAAAGTGCCGTTGCTCTGGTTACTTATACCAAAGATTTTTATAATATTTTATGAAGTTCTGATTATAGTCATTGTTTCGTTTAATTACTTGATTCTGTTTCATTCTTACTTTTCTGTACAGTGAACCTTCTCATCTGTTGTACCTGTTGGAACACACCTGGAAAGATGCCAGGTTCATTTTGCAGATCTTGTGTGAGCTAAATGTTCTTCCATTAGCATTGCAGATCACTAACATCGCTGGGAACATTATGGTAAATTTAACTTGGAGGGGGAAAAAGCATTTCCTGTTGGATTCAGTGTTTGCTTGGGGTAGTTGTTATATGATAATGAGTCTAAATGCATACTTATAAAATGAGTGACTTGTATTCTGAAAGCTGGGCTTCTTTTGTAAAATGAAGAACTGGTTGGGAGAAGGGGAGGAAAACCAGGTGCAGTATGTTGAAATTTGGGTGAACATAAGATCATCTCTAACATCTGGCTGTGTCTCATTTGTGGAATGGCCCACTAGGAAGTAAAGAAATAGCCTAAGTTGTCAGTATTTTAAGCTTTTTGTCTCCTTTTAACTATAATGCTTAAAGAAAATGCTAGGAATAATTTAGTACCTTTAAAAAATAGCCCTTGTTATGAGGAATGATTTTGAAGGAGGTGCTATGATTAAATTTACCAGGTCAAAGTTGCTCTTATTTGTTGTGATTTTGAGCTCAAATTTAAAAGAGAAATTCTGTTTAATAGTCTAGGACGCTGATGGGTGGACGAGCTGAGCGTAATGAGTTCTTGTTGCTTCACGCATTTTATGAAAACAACTATATTGTGCCTGACAAGCAGATTTTCAGGAAGCCTCAGCAAAAACTGGTGGGTCTAAAATTATATAGCATTTTGCCTTTTCTTATCACCCCCTTTTATTACCTATATAGCTTTTTTTGCTGTGATAACATCTGCTTCCAAAATAATCCCTGTATACTGTAGAAACTGAGTCAGGTTTGTTCTGTTGTGTTTGTGTGGTCATTTCCTTTTCCACTCTTCTCTGTACAGATAAAATTATAAAATAGGAAGTTCTTTGAGGGAGGCATTAGGCCTCTCTGACGCGTGACTGTACATAGAAAGTGTTTTGGCACCTTACTTAGCCCTACACAAAGCTACATGCCAGTTAAATCTTTTATTTTCTTAAACCCGTGAGCCTTTATTTTTGTGTTGCATTATACGTACTAGTGACATCAAGATCACCACAATCAGGTTTCTAAAGTGGCTTCCAAAGTTAGCTACTATTTTATTGGCACGGATAGAATTGATTCAGAATGGGAATTTAATATTAAAATGATTCAGGTATTTTCTTATTTTATGTACATTATCAAAATTGGTATAGGGAATATTGACTTAGAGAAATTTGACTTCTGCTGAGCAGCATTGAATGTTGGCCATTAACAAACTACTTGGGAATAAATTTTTAGTATATGGACATACTTATTTTAAGGTGTCCATATTAACGTTTAGAATAATGGTAATATCTATATGAAGTAATTTTCTATTTTTATATCATGAATATTAGAGTAATGAATTTAAGGAGACTCTTCTACAAACCCAACTTTTATATAATATCAAGAGTTATTTTTCTAGTATCTATTGATTTTTAAAAAGTGAAGTTCTATGAATTCAGAACTATTTTAAAGTCAAATTTGCGCACTTATTAGCTCAGAGAGAAAGCATTTGTTTTGGTAACTACCATGCTTGGCATTCATTTGTATTCATGAGTATGTTTCAATAACTGTGGTCCTACCACTAAAACTACAGAATGTTTGTTAAAACTGTATACTGCATTTGGAAAAGGAGGGAGTCATAAAACTTCTTAATTAGTTAATTAGTTGCTGGCTGGTGAAGTTATCTTTCCATTTGATATTAGGGAGATGAAGATGAAGACATCGATGGAGATGTCAATAAATACAAGAAAGGACGGAAGAAAGCAGCTTATGCTGGAGGCTTGGTATTGGACCCTAAAGTTGGTAAGGCTGAGCAGTGGGCTGGCTTGCCCTGGTGTTAAGGAATTTCTTTATGCAGAGTGAGGCTTGAGAAACTAAAAGACATGAATTATATTTTGTAGGTTTTCAAATAGGTCTCATAATAACATTATTTTATATTGGACAGCAAAATTAAAGAAAGTATAGACAGTAACCACCAAATTGAACTTTAATAGGATAATAGCTTTTCCCTGTTCTGAATAGTAAAGATGTTTTGTGGTACACAGAGGAGAAAGTGTCTTTTTTTTAGCATCTTAATCATTTTTCAGTATACAGATGAGTGGTGTTAGGTATATTCACATTGTTGTGCAGGAATTAATGTGAATTTTATCAAGTAACTTAAACTCTGAGTAGGAGACATTTAAAATTATTAGCTGTAGTAAAACAGATCAGTAGTACAGTTGTCCTTCAGTGTTAGATCAATCTGGGCTTGAATTCTGGCTGTGATCTTGGGCTTCCTGTTGAACCTCTGAAAGCCTCAGTTTTCTTTTCTGTAAAATTGAGATAAGAATAATATCTGTCACGGAGACATTTAAGGAATAAAAGGGATTGTTTAGTATAGTGCCCAACACAGAGTAAGCTTTTAATATGTTTGCTGTTGTTATTATTGTCTTATTAATGGACATTTACTTTTATTCAGTTTCTTCTTAAGGTGAAGAAAACTCTTTGTAAGTGTCCTAGAGAAATATAGTAGCTTTCTGTTCACCCTTTGCAAGTAAAAAGGGGTGGATCGTTCCACTACTGACATGTATACATCTCTTGTGTGATTTTAGTACAGTTTGTGTACAGGTAAGTGGGCTGCTCATTTTATTCTTTGAAGGTATGATTGTAAAAAATGTATATAACCACTCATTGTAGAGATCACTAAATATTTTTGGGGTGGAGATGGGAGGGAATGCTTGCTCGAGGGAGAATTTAACAACATTTAAAAAAAATAAATATGACACCTGCCAAAGTGATATGGGGAAGTGTTTGCCTATCATAATGGTGTACGTTGGGAACTTCTGGGGAAAGGGCTGGTTGTAGCTGGTTTCAAGGTGAGAGAGGACCTCTTTTGTGAACTGAGTTTTCACTCTAGTCCAAGTCATTTTTATAGCATTGTAGTAGACTCTTTTTTTTCCTTTTGTCTACCTCACAGCTCTGGATAGTATATTGTTTCTAACATACTTCAGATTATAGTACTTCTAATGTGATCTTTTGACAAATCTACTTTTTGAAAAGACTTCGTAATGTGCCTTTTATATTGCAGGTTTTTATGATAAGTTCATTTTGCTTCTGGACTTCAACAGTTTATATCCTTCCATCATTCAGGAATTCAACATTTGTTTTACAACAGTGCAAAGAGTTGCTTCAGAGACACAAAAGGTTACAGAGGTTTGTGTTCAACTGGGGGGCTCTTGAAATTGAGATTAAAAGTAGTACTTAAAGAAGAGAACCAAAATATTTAGTTTTCCCTCTTAAAAGGTACATTATATCCTTTTTAGTGGTCAGAAAAAGGGGAGGGTTGTATAGGAGGAAACTCTGACTGGTTTTGAGTCTTTTTTATTTAACAGCTTTATTGCGATGTAATTCACATACCATATACAATTTAGTCATTTAAAGTCTAAATTTAATGGTTGTTAGTGTATTCAGAGATTTATAACTTTCACCATAGTTAATATTAGGACATTTTCATTACTCTTCAAAGAAACCCCCTAACTTTTACTTGTAACTTCCCTTAATACCTCCACCTCTCCCAGGTCTAGGCAAACACTACTCTTTCTGCTTCTATAGATTTGTGTATTTTTGACATTTCATATAAATGGAATCACATGTGACCTGTGTCTAGCTTATTTCACTTAGCATACTGTTTTCAGGATTCATTCATATTGTAGCATGTATTAGTACTTCATTCCTTCTTATTGCTGAATATTTAATTGTATGGAAGTATATCACATTTTGTTTGTTTTAGAGTCATCTCAATTTATGCAAAATGGCTGCTGGGATTTTGATAGGAATTGTATTGGATCTGTAGATCAGTTTGGGGAGTATTGTCTTAAGAATGTTAAATCTTCCATTTATTTACGTATGTAATTTCTTTCAATGATGTTTTCTAGTTTTCAGTGTATAAGTCTTGCACTTATTAAAATTAAATTTATTCATAAGTATTTTATCCTTTTTGATACTATTATAAATGAAATTGTTTTCTTAATTTCAAGATTTGTTCATTGCTAATATATAGAAAAATAACTGCTGCACTCATGTATTAGTTCTAATAGTTTTGTGGATTCCATAGGATTTTTTTGGATATACGATCATGTCATCTGTGAATAAAGATCATTTAATTCTTTCCTATTTGGATGCCTTATATTTCTTTTCCTTGCCTAATTCCCCTAACTAGAACCTCCAGTACAATGTTAAATAGAAGTGCAAGAGCAGACACCCATGTCTTGTTCCTGATCTTTGGTGACAGCATCTAATCTTTCATCATTAAGTATAATGTTAGCCGTAGGTTTCCCATAGATGTCCTTTACAAGGTTGAGGAAGCTCCCTTCTGTTCCTAGTTCATTCTCGTTTATTGAGTGTTTTATCACAAAAGGGTATTGTACCAACCTGCATTTCTGGGATAAGTCCCACTTGTTCTTGGCGTATAATCTTGTTTTATATGTTGCTGGATTTGATTTACTAGTATTTTGTTGAGGAGTTTTTGTCTGGATTCATAAGGGCTGTTGGTGTGTAGTCTTTTCTTATGTTTTTGGTTTTGGTATTAGGTTAATACTGGCCTGATAGAATGGGTTGGGAAGTAATCCCTCCTTTTCTGTATTTTGGACTTGTCTGTGAGGGATTTGTGTTAATTATTTAAATATTTGGTAGAATTCACTAGTGAAAATTATCCGGTCTTAACCCCCCCCCCCCCTTTTTTTAAAATTACTAATTCAAACTATTGTTATAGGTCTTTTCAGATTTTCTATTTTCCCTTCAGTCAGTTTCAGTTGTTTGTGTCTTTCTAGGGATTTGTCCATTTCATGTAGGTTATCTAATTTATTGGCATAAAATTGTTTATAGTATTCTTTTAAAATCATTGCTATTTATTTAAGTTCAGTAGGGATGTTCCCTCTTTTATTTCTGATTTTAGTAATTTGACTGTTCTTTTTTTCTTTGTCAATATAGCCAAAGTTTGTTAATTTTATTGGTCTTTTCAAAGAAGCACCTCTGGTTTCCTTGATTTTTCTGTTGCTTTTTTTATTCTCTATTTCATTCATTTCTTCTGTAATCTTTATTCTTTTCTCTGCTTTCTTTGGTTTAGTTTGCCCTTTGTCTAGTGTCTTAAGGTGGAAGTTTAGGTTATAGATTTCAGACTGTCTCTTGTAATATAAATATACACAATTATAAATTTTCCTACAAGCACTGCTTTAGCTTCATCTATGAGTTTTGTTATATCACATTTGCCTTTTCATAGTCAGTCCCATTTCCCCTATGTCTACCATTGATCTGACTTCTATCACCATAGTTTAATCTTGCTTGTTCTAGAATTCATGTAAATAGAGTGATACAGTATGTACTCTTTTGTGTCTGGATTTTTTGTTCAACATAATGTTTTTGAGCTTCATCCAGTGGTTCTTTCCTTTCTACTGCTGAGGAATTATTCCACATTTTATTCTCCTGAGATTAGCATCGGATTGACTTCAGTTTTTGGCTATTGGTAATAAAACTGCTGTGAATATTCTTATATGGATCTTTTTGTGGATTTGTGCTTTCATTTTTGGTGGGGTCAATACTTACGGAGTGAATTTGCTGTTTGTTGGGGAAGTATATGTTTAATTTGATAAGAACCTGTCATACTGTTTTCCTAAGCAGTTGTATCATTTTACACTCCTACCAGCTATGTATGCGAGTTGTTCCCCATCTTCATCAACACTTGTTATTTTCAATCTTATAAATTTTGTCTATGCAAGCATTGCCTAATGATTTTACTCACTAAATAGCCCTTTTAAAATAATCTTTTTTTATTTCTCTCACATGGATTTTAATCTAACCAGTGATCCTTCAGTCAACAGTTTTATATAGGGCTTAATAATTTATTAACTTTCAGTAGGGAAATTGGTTAGATTTGATTCTCCAGCAGTAAAAGATATAAATTAACATACTACCTTGTATGTTGTTTTTCTCTGCTTCTTTGTACATGTGGCAGATGTCTATTTGCCCTCCAGCTCCTGAACTTACATTTCTTTTTAGTTCCATCCACATGCTTGGGAGCTGTTTCTCAGTCCCTGTTCCATCTTCCCAGAAGAGAGAATCTTGTAGGCTTGCCTCGCTCTCTTGGTCCCATCAGTTGTGACCACAGGGGTGGGTTCAGAGTACAAACATGGGTACTAAGAATGGGCCTTCCTATGGGACTAGAGGATAATTTTACAGAGAAGGTATTAGGTAGACATCCCCAAAAGGTAGTAGCTGCATTTCCTGCAACTGTGTCAGCATTGTGATAATTTTCATTATCTAGCACTCTCCCCCTACCCCGTTTTATTCGAATTTTTCATTTTGGATTTTGGATATATGATGGAATCATTTCAGAGTTAAAAGGGAACTTAGAGGTAATCTACGAAATACTATACATGTAGCAATTTATAGGTTCTCATTTTCCTGTACAGTCAGTCATTTGGTCTTCAGAACAGCTAGTGCCACACTGGTAGTGGCAGTAGAGCCGGTCGTGGATTATAAATTTCCTGACTCTAAATCCTTTTAGTTTAGTTTTTATCTGACCGCCATAGATTGGAATATATACCAAGATCTCTTTAATAGGTTTCTTACCATCTTTTGCTATATTGGAAAGCAATAAGTCCCTGCTACTATTGTAAGATTGTTCATTGGAAGATACTGATCTTTATAAAATTAGATACTTTGTAAAAGCTGGGTTATCAAGTGGCATCGACTTGACATACTTTAAGCCAAGAGGTTTATTTTTAATTCTGAATCTTTGAAAGGGCAAATTTGCCTGGCTTTTCTTTGCAGTCTATTAACGGAATTAATGGAAGTCTGAGAGAAATGGTTTAATGCTTTCCCTGCTTTTTTTGCTATAAATTATAATATAAGAAGACTACTGGTTGCTTTTCTAGAATGTTGCTATTCTTTTACTGATTGCAAAGCAATTTATAGATAAAAGGTACTACATATATGCTAAGGAATATATACAGGGTGGGAAAAAGTAGGCTTACAGTTCGTATGGAAAATAATACAGTAATTAATACAAGAATAAACTGTGTTTCTCGTACTCACTACTGTAAAACTACTTTTGACCACCCATGTATGTATTAATTTTTAGTAATGTCATGACCTATTTAAATATGCGTTCCAAATTCTTGAAAGAAATTTGCTGATTTAGTATTTAGACTTATTTTTGTGTCTAAAACATTTATAGTATTTGCTATGATTTTCCATAGTTTTAAAAATTTTATAGCATTTTGTTTGGTAGTATACATGACTTAAAACAGTAGTTTCATTGCTGTTTGTTTTTTTTAATCCTAGGAATCTCTCTTACTGTTTTATTTTAAAAACAATTTCCCCAAACTTGTTTCTCCCCAATCTTGTTGAAGAAAGGAGAGGAGCGTGTGTAAAAATTCACCCCTTTAAAGATATCTACTGTATCAATGTCTAGAGGGGTGGGAGTATTGACTTGTTCTGCTGCAACCCTCTCAGTCTTTCTTTACCACCCATGCATTATTGACCCTTACTGTACAATATAAGAAAGTACTTTTTCCACATGTGATCAGAGGGTAAAGCTCCCACAAAATGTTTTAGAAATTTATTTAATGAAAGTTGATTTGTCTGAAATTTCTGTTGTGTGTTCATCAGGATGAAGAACAAGAACAGATCCCCGAGCTGCCAGATCCAAGCTTAGAAATGGGCATTTTGCCCAGAGAGATCCGGAAACTGGTAGAGCGGAGAAAACAAGTCAAACAGCTAATGAAGCAGCAAGATTTAAATCCAGACCTTGTTCTTCAGGTATAACTTTTCAACTAAGAGACATCTGAGTGACAGTCTCAGCTTTTAGAAATTGATTATCTGAGAGTGATTTAAACATGATGCTGTGGGCAAATGCATGTGCCTATTTTACATTTGTGGGTAGGAAACCATTCAAAAAACCACTAGAGCGCCTCAAAATGGAAGGTACTTCTATCTGCAAAGCTGTATCTGGGGAAGATCCTTCTGACTTCAGTTTTGGGGTCTCTGAGAGGACAGGTTGGATGTGTTAAGAGTTCTTTTTTTTCCAGGGATATTGAGGGTTTCTCCTCACTGGTCATTTAGAAAGGCATCTAATGTAATGCTTAAGCATTTGCCAATATTATTGTTTGTCTTTTGTTCTTGTGTGGCCTGCAGTATGACATTCGACAGAAGGCTTTGAAGCTCACAGCAAACAGTATGTACGGCTGCCTGGGATTTTGCTACAGCAGATTTTACGCCAAACCACTGGCTGCTTTGGTGACATACAAAGGAAGGGAGGTAAATAGTGTAATATCACATCTCTAAAAAGGAGAGTTTTTTAAATCTTCTTTTGACTTTAAGAGTATTTTTAACCATACAATAATGTGGGAGAACCAGCTTGTTACCTAGTTATACAGCTTCAAGTATCCCCTTTTCAGGACAAAATTGAGAGAGATGGGCTTTTAGGTAAGGATCCATTCATTCATCTATTAAGTGTGTGTGTGTGTGTGTGTGTGTGTGTGTG